GGCCGTTTCCCGCCCGCCGCGGAGCTCGGTGCGTTTGTAGCCCCACTCGACCCGTCCGTTCCGCTCCGAAGCGTAAATCCCGGTTGGTCCGTGATCCGGCGCTGCGGTGTCATGTTGTTCCGGCACCTCGGCTGCTACCAGACCTGGTCGCCGCGGCCAAGCGCGCCGGAGTCTGACGGTTCTGTGGTGGACGCCCCTGGTGTGGTGACCCCGGGAGCGGTGAGGGACGTGGCAGTCCCCAGGGGAGGTGGTGTGTGTGGTGATGCTTTTGGGATAGCGGTCTCTTGGCAGCTTGCCTATCCTAAAACTTGAGCTACCTTAAATTTAAGGGATGCTTTATTTTCCCAAGGCGCCTTTGCTTAGATGGAGGCTCCCAAGGTGACTGGTCCGAGCAGTTTGGCTAGTCACGTCCCCATAATCCACTTTCTGCCCCAAAGTCTTCCAGAATGTGTTTATGGCCTTTTTTTTCTCCTCGTTGAGTTTCAGTGGGTAGGAAGCTCATGGCACCAGTGACAGGACCACCACTCTTGTCATCAGTGCCTCCACAGAAGTGCCAGTGCTGCACAGCTGCGTTGCCATCGGCGTCCTAGATTTTGAGAAACAACTTGTGCTTTTTATTTGCTGCTTGGCAGAGCTTTTATAATTAGTCAGGAGCTGTGGCTTTAAGTCGTGGTTCAGGACATGGAGCCACACCTGCCTTTACTGGTGGGTGAGTGTGTAGTTCAGCCATGAGACAGAGGAAATGCTTCTTATTGTAAGCTTAGTGTTGACCAAATGTCTCATCTTGACAACAGTCAAAGGTGGAATGCTGAATACATGCTACTGAGGAAAGAAAAGAGGCTATGGACAGTGGATGCTTTGAGGTTCCTACCACATTTCATACTGGAAGTACTATACCTGGAGTTACCAAGTGCTTTATCCTTCACATCCATTACTACTCTTTAATTGGGAGAGTTGATATAGCTATGTGTGGTCCTCTTGTATCAGTGCTCATGCTGGTTATCAGCTTTGGAAAGCATGTTAAAAATTCTGCTGAAACTTCCAGCAAGCTTAATGTGAAAGAAGATTTTTCTTGTGTGAAGCTTGAAATGAGCGAGACCATTTCAGAGAGATCCCTGCAAAGACGCTAGACGTGATTTTTGGACAGTGTGGACCGATGCCCGCCGTGTGGGCTGTTGGTGTCTAAATAATGGGCACTGTACTTTATGTCCAGTATTCTGAGCTACTTAGCTCCTTAGGTACTACAGTTTCAGGAGATCTTAATGTTGGGATAACTTACTACCAGCCTAACAGGATGAACGTGACCTCCCTGTTAGAATTTTTTTGGCTAAGTAAAAGCTCGGAGGCGCTGTTACCTCTATATATGGCAGTAACGACCCATTTCTCGACTACGGTGTCCAGTTTTGGTGTCTATGTGAAAAGGGATGCTGGCAAATTGGAAAGGGTTCAGAAGAAAAACAGAAGTTTTTAGACATCTGGAAACTGGATTGTACAGAGTGAGGTAAACCAAATAGATTGAGCCGCTTATCAGGAAGCGTCAAGAGGTGCTTGTATCAGATTATCCATGCAAGGAGAAGAAAGCAGCTCATTAGGAGACAGAGGTGAAGCAAGATTCAGAGACAGGAGTTTGAAACTGGATGTTCTCAGATTAGAAATAAGGCACAATGTTTAATGTACTAATGTAGCTGAAGAGTATGGGGTTGATTATGTCTTTTCAAAACTTGTAAGAGTCTAAAAGCTGTAACTAAATATTAGCTAGGAAATAATGGTTTTACATGGAAGGCCAGACCAGAGATTTTATTAATATGCACTGAGGCCTTGCCACACGTGAATGGCATCACTAAATCCTTATGCTTCCCTAGAAAAAAAATACTGCTGAGCCCAAGCTATCCTTGCAAAGTATCTTTTATTCCCTCTACAAACATGATTAAATCCTGTGTACTGCCTTGCAAGATATTTCAAAAGTTGGTATTGGAATGATGAGATTAACCTCATTTACACAGTAATAATTAGATGTGTTTCAAATTAGCTAAGAAATTTCCTGTTGTTCACTGTGATGTTAGTAAATAGGATTTGCATGATGGATGTTGATTTTTCTTAGGATGATATGCTACAACTCTGTAACCTTTACAAATAATCTACTGGCTGCAGGGGTATAACCTGTCTGAATTAATGTTGTAAATCATTCCCAGAATTTTAGAAAGGCAAATTTATCTGGTGTATGTAAGTGACTCTGTATGCTTTTGGAAATTTGTTTTTAAACAGTACTCCCTTCTTAGGTGTTCTGTTTCTCCATTCCCTCAGCAGAGTTTGCTCTATGCACAGGTGTGCTGTGAGTGCTTAAGAGGACTAATTAGTACCAGCTGACACAACACATGATTTGATATCCCATGATACTGGACTGTTGGTTGACTGCATAGATCTTCCATTTAATCCCTGGCCACAGCTAGAGCTGCTTTTTAGTATTACTGCAATAGTGGTTTAAATTAAAGAAAAAAAAAAGAAAAAAAGGAAAAAAAAAGATGAGTAACATGATGTTATTTGCTCAATCCCATGACCTGTAAAACGAAAAAAAATATATTCTACTACATCAAATTGTAGTTAAGAGATATACATAATATTTTTGACAACAAATATTTGAAAAGTAGAATGTATATGATTAATAGCTCCAGATACTGAAATTTGTTCTGTGATACTAGAACGTGCAGCATTCCCATTTAAGTGAATGAGAACTCTGCCTGCATAAGCAGAACCCAGACCCAAGTAATAACAAAATACATGCTGCAGAAAGATCAGATAACCATACTCTGGATTCTTTCCCAGGTTCTTCCTTTGTCTACCAGTGTATTGGGTCTCATTATTCGCCGCTGAAATCAATGAGAGCATAGCATTGATTATAGCTGGAACAAGTCTGAACACAGTATTTGAACAACAAGAAACCTTAATTTTATGAATCCTTATGCCTATTTAACATAAAGTCGATACGTGCGTCTTAAGCTGTATGCATCTGCTGTTCAAGGTTAATGGTAATTCACAGTTTTTGTCAGATTGTGACCTTGGACCATAAAAGTAATAATGGTTGAGCATTATTTCAAATGTCACATTGCGTAGTTCACTATGATGGCTTAATGTTTTGCAGTGTAGATCTATTTTTAGTAGAAAGAATTTGCCTTGACTAATTTTCTTTTGTTTTTCAGGAAAAGAAATGGAGCAAATTCAGTAACTATCCAGTGTAACGTCTTCTGATATCTTAAGGAATCTTACAAATACGTGTTTTGAATTGAGAAAATGACTGCAGATATAGAAGAAAGTACAGGTTGTGGAAAAGAATACCTGTCAAAAAGTGGAACATCCAATAGTTAATTTGGAAGTAGTATAAAATACATATACCTGTTATGGTGCGATGCTGGAGTGGAGTTAACTCTATAGCACACAGGTAGCTCTCCAAGGAGGAAAAAAAAAAAAAAGAGCTTTCTTTTTTTCTAAATTATGGAAATTTTTTGGAAGACGTGGACATGGATTTTGAGCCTAGTCATGGTTTCATCGGAATTTCACAGTGACAACAGGCTTTCATATAGTTCTCAAGGTAGGGGTCCAACCTCTGTAGCTGACAAGCAGCATCTATTTTTGTATTGCATTTGGGTAATATTTTCTAAACCACATTTATATAATTCATGTGATTTTATGGGTTCTGTTCTTAGTTTTGTCATGATTCATTGTCATGAAAGTTTAAATACAGCAAATCGGATTAAATCTTTTGTTTTAATTTCTTTCTGCCTACTTTTAGCTGTAGGAAAGCCTTGCAAATTAAATCTAGCACAATGTTGTACTTGATAATAGTTTAGAGACTTGCCATAACTACATTAACATGTTTTTAGACTAGGAAGTAAGGATCTAATCTTACTTTGATCCATTAACATTTATAGTTTTTTAACAAAATGAAGAGCTGTTTACATGTTTTTACAATATAATACTTTTCATTACTACTGTTTTTATTCTTGCAGGTGGATCTAATAGCTTTTGTCTTTGAATAGTATCACTGGGAAGAATGTGTCCTTCTTAGGTTAGCATTTAGCCCCAAATGTTAACGTTTTTTGGGTAAATAGGAAAATATATGTAGTTAAAAACTTTTGTGTTTCCAGTGACATCAAATTAATGGGAAACTGAACACATTTTCTTGACTTGAAAAGAAAGAAAAGGACATTTTGTTTTATTTAGTATAACGCTACATCTTGCGTTTACCTGAAAATGACTTTTACTCATGAGAGTGATGAGATTTAGCCAAATATGGTTTAATGTTTATGCTACTACTTGTTGTTTCCTGTTATATTTTCTTCTCTTCTATGCCCACTCCCTGGACTGTCTTACCTTGTGATTACAAAGAGGAATTCCTGTCTTACCTTGAACACTACCAACTAACAATCCCAATAAGGGTTGATCAAAATGGAGCCTTCCTCAGCTTTACTGTGAAAAATGCTAAACCCTCAAGAAGGAGGAGGAGCACAGACCCTTATGACCAAGAACTGGCAGCATCTAAATTATTTTTTAAACTTTCTGCCTATGGCAAGCACTTTCATTTAAACCTGACTCTCAACACAGATTTGGTGTCCAGACATTTTACAGTAGAATACTGGGGGAAAGGTGGACCACAATGGAAGCACGACTTTTTAGACCACTGTCATTACACAGGATATTTGCAAGACCAGCACAGTACAACTAAAGTGGCCTTAAGCAACTGCAATGGTCTGGTAAGTGCACATTAAATGTTCTATTGTAATAGTGTGCTTGTCCCTTTTAAATTACAGAACAACAGCTTAATTGTCATATCTTGCAGTTTTTTTGAGTCCCTGCGGGAAGCAAGCAGACAGGAAGGTGCAGAAAGCCCCTAAAACCTGATCTGGGTCTTGGGGAAAAGTAGTCATCAGTTTTTCAAGCTTAATTGTAAGTACTGAGACCCAATTCTGTAGTCCTGTAGCAGGCAACGTTTTCAGTGTTTGCAGTGTCTGCACTAGGGCTGCATGATTAGGTCTGTGCTGAGATCCTTACAGGTTATAAATGTGTTGCAAGCTCAAGGGGCGTGGAGGAGGAAACAGTGGATCCTTTAGGATGTCGAATCTCTCAGGAGAGACATTGATTGAGCTGAACACCCGCTTGTTATCTTTGAGAATTTGGGTTTAGTATCTTTGAGTGAATAACAGAGAAGAGGAATTGTTTGGTGTGGATGTCTTAATTGCTATAAATTCAAAGAATGAAGAGGAAAGCAGATCCTTTGCAAGTACTGGCATCGGAAAGTAATTATTTACCTTTTTTTTTTTTGGAAATATTTTGTTTACAAATTGTAAACAGTTGCATTTAAAAGTAGGATTATAAATGCTCATCTCTTTTATTCTCATCTCTTCTTTTAATGTTGATTTCTTGATCACATGACAGTAATACTTACATGGGAAAAAGCTTCTTTTATTCCCAACAGAAAGTAGAAAACAAACGCAAAAAATTAAAAAACAGACTATCGAGTGACAAAATACTACGACAGAAGGGCATGACTAGGAAATACCCAATCAAAAGCCAGTAGTTTCTCTGGTTAAAAATAATTAATATATATATATTATGGTTAATCATTCTGGTTTAACATTGGTTAACACTGGTCAATCTTGTTAGAAATAGACAGATCTAGTTGCGGGGAGGGGGGGGAAAAGACTACACAAAGTTGCCAAACTAATTCATATTTATCCTTGGAAGTGCTGTTGAATAACGCGTCTTGGGATGCCATTTACAAAGAAAAGCCAGCTGCTTCAGACCTTGATAGGTTACATTACACCCAGCTACTTGTGATAAGCCTGATACAGTCTAGGTTAACATTTTGGAGTACCCTTGAGGAAAAAGAATTTAATGGGATTTCCAGGGCTAAGTGAACACTTTCAAAGAAATGTAGTAAAAATAGTGTTCCATTGAGTGCAGTATCATCGTTTGGTTAATGCAAACTTGTAGCGGATAGGTCTGAATTTAGTACACTTTGGTTTTGTAGTTCCCATATAATAACTTTTTCGTCACAGCTTTTAAACTAATACACTCATTTTCCTTTTGAGTTCTTTTCAGCTAAAACCGCTACAGAGACCAAATCCCCGCTTTCAGGACATGCTTTGTTAAAAGAGGCTGCGTGGCTCTATGTCTCCATAGCTTCTGCCAGCTGAGGCACTGGCAGGTTGGCCCCTTGGAGCCTGCAGTCAGTGCCATGGTGCTCCTGTTTCAGTTCCTCTCTGACCTCGGCCAGGGAGTGACCCAGGAACACCTGCTCTTGCCTTAGCTGACTCTTTTTTTTCATGTTAGGAACACAAGAGTGGGATGAAGCAGGAAAAGGTCCATGTTTCCGTATTGGTTTTGCCCATCTCTTGCTTCTCATGGCATGTCTTTTCTTCAAAGAATTTAGCAACATGGATGGGGTCATCGTGAAGCAGGATTTTTTTTTTTATTTTTCTTTTTCTTCTGGGCCTCACACCCTGAGGTGATATTTAGCATTCCCATTGCTGCGTGTTTTCACTCAGCCTTGCTGTTTTGCTGGAGTGAAACCTCCTGTTCTTACATGGTTCTAGGTGTCAGTATGTTAACTTAAAGTTTGTAAGTGAACTTTAGCGTGGAATGCTTCCCAATTAAATCATCATCTTCAGTGCGTTTGGTTGTCATACCTCTTACGTATTTCTTCCAGGTATAAAGGCAGCCTTAATCCAGTCTCTGGGTGCACCACGACTGGCACTCTCAAGTTCTTCATGGTCATGCCTCTTACTTGGGACTGCAGGTGTCAGGTGTCCACTGCATCTCCTAGAAAGACCTAGTCACAGGCATGTGAGGCTCCTGTCAGGCTCCGGAAGCATCAGCAGGGGTGACACGAGGCTCTTTCTCAGAGAGGCAGGAATCCTGCGGAAGAGTGCAGCGGTAGGCTTCGCTCAGTATCGTCCTCTACCGTAGAGAAACTCCTCTGTCTTCCAGTGTTGGCAGGGTCTTCCAGAGCACCGAGCATGGGAGTTACCACTCCATTCAGATGAATCCATCACAGTTATTTTTAAATGATGATTCCTAGTGATGAATGTTTTGTTATACAGCTGCTGGTTAGAACATGTTTAATAAAGCAATTGGCAGTGAATATTGAAGACATTATTACTCGTTTTAGAATTAGTGATAGTTCAGAATGTCGTGCTTAAGGCATTAATTGAATTTTCTGGTCTGATTGTTGGTCTTTAAGAGACTGCCAGTTACATTCTGCATAGTACTTGATTAACATCTATCTCAAAGCCAATAATTTTAAGTTTAACTCTAAAAGTAGTAGTAATCTTTAACGATGAGTATTACTCACAAGCAAAATTTAAGCGTTTAATTTATTCCAGTTGTCCTGTTAGGCTTCAGTATTGCCAAATGAGAAAAATTTATTGCCCTAAGTGAATGTTTTGAGTTATTCTGTTTAGTTATTCAGGATGGTCAGGTGAGACCATGATCTAATTAACATAAGTTGTATGACTTTGAAGAACACTCGTAGTATCTGAGATGAGTTCTAGTGCAAGAAGGGCTTTCTCTCACTTTCAATACAATAAAAGTGACAAGCAGTCAGTTCATTTCCCTGTTGCTGTTTCCTGTTTCAGCCTCTCCCTCTATATTTCTCATTACCAAGTGCCCCAGAATTACAGGCTGCTACTTACTGAAGTTTCATTCCAGCAGTTTCCATCTGCTGGGCCCTGATTATGCTATAAATTGTCTGAAGTTATGAGGAAAGCTCTATAATCCAGTGAGCAGTCGTGTGAGGAAATTGAAGGTTTTGTCCGGCAGGCATGCTGGCTTCCAAACTCGTATTTACTTTAGTGGATGTTACGTTTGTGGAAGGATTGCAGGTTTGGCCGTCTCGTGAAAGAGCCTGCAATGAGCAGTGTTTTGGGGCCTTTGGATGTTGGGTGCAAGGCAACAAGGCTGAGACATTGCCTAAGCTGAGTATGTCATACTGAAGGAAAGAAGAGTGGTAGACTGGCTGAAGAGAGAACAACTTCACTTCAAGGGAAAGAAGTTTTTCTAATTCTGAGTGGAGCAAGTCTTAAAGAAGAAAAGTTTTGGAGCTCATAGTAGTGGAATTGAGCAGAAACCAAACTTCTTGCATTCTGACCTACCTCTGTCCTCTGCCAGGTGTCAAAGCTCTTAACTGAGTGCTAAAACAAGTTTTCCATAGTAGTGGATTTTCTCATTTTGAGCTGAAAAGCCCAGTAGTGGGAAATACTTTTAAATGTGTAGATTATTATTAGGAAAGTGAATGAGAGGTTAAATCACATTTTGAGGCTACTATGGTTCCAAGGAAATGTTTAATGTAAAAGGCCAAGTATTTCCATGGCATGTGAAGTTCCATGCACTGAGTAACATTTGTGCTGGGTAGTACAGATGTCTTCATCGAAACAGAAATGATAAAGAAAGCACAGGAAGCAGGCTGTGGCTAAAAGCATGACTGTACTTGGTTAAAGGAGGAGTTATTTTGCTGGAGGACTTCATGTTTGTTTATGTATTCCTAAATTCATATATGTATAAATTATTCATATTCTTCTAAAAGTAGCGCATTTGAAAGCTTCTTGTACCATAAAGAATGCGTCTACTTTTATAGATTATAAATTGCATATAGTACGATATTTTTGAATTGTGTAAAATAATGTTTAATTTATAAAAAAAATATAAAGATCAGAAACAATAATGAAAAAGATTTAGTGTTCTAAATAAGTGTCTTGGAGTTCTCTTTGGTACTAATATGTATTTGCAGTATAGACTTAGTATTCAGAAAACTATATGTAAGATGTCCCTGTCCAAGTTTTAAGGTGTCCTGTTGGATTCCAGGATGCACTGTCTCAGGCTAGATCACTATTTTTTTCATCTTTAAGAACACAGTAAGCTAATGCAATCTTTTTCCTCAGTCATAAAACCACATTGAAGTGTATAACCAGCTGTAGACATACTGAACAACACTGACACATTTTCAGAAGTTTCCATTACTGCTACTTTATATTAAAAATGGATAAAGCATAAAGTCTAGAAAGGTTCAAGGCATGGAGAAATTGTAAAACAGTAGTACTGTGTGGAAAAGGCGTGCGCTTACTTGTCCTGCATAATTCAGTTTGCTTCTGTGACTGATGGATGTCCCCCATCCGAAGGAGGTTAAGGCCCCAGCTGGACAGCCGGACAGAAAAAGACTCCTTTTCACAAATTCAGGGGAACTCCATGTCGATTCACAGATCTGTCTGAGCATGTCAGACTGCTGGATCCAGACCTTATATATGTTAGCAGGAGTTGGCAGTCTGTAGTGGGATTGGATAACACAGGACCTCAAACAATCTGTTTTAGATAATAATCTTGGGAATGTTGCTTGTAGTAACCTACTTGGGGCATTCAGCTTGTTTCTTAAATTCATGGTATTTTATCAAAACCTTTTGCTGGTCATTCTTATATCTTAATGATATTTGTTATGCTTTGGACCAGAAGTTTAATTCACAAACTGTTCAAATACAATAGCAAAACTAAAAAAAAATTACTATAGTTCCTTTTAATACTTTAAAAGGGCATTATTTCAATCTCCTTTTTTTGAACTGAAATTGTCTTTTGCTCAAATAGTAGATTATAAGCAAAAAAACAGGGATTAGAATGTTGTTTTGGAT